CATTTTTGTTTTTCAAGCTTGCAGGTTGACTTGGATAGAGAGTTTCAGACACTTTCAAAGCAAGGTAAAGATTGGAACATACTCAGGGAGGTTCAAGCAAGCTAAAGGAATCTTCAGGCCTTCATAAATCTCACTCAAACTCCATACACGATCTCAACTGAAAGAGGTAAGAACTCCAACTTTTATTTCTTCATACAGGCATCCATAGGCCACGATTTGTGAAAGAAAAATGTAGATATTATTGTGCTGAAGCCAACCATGTGCATATAATTCATTTATATTCATTGTGTATAAAGAATTTTAGAGTTCAAATTTCTGCAAAAATTAGGTTTAAAATTAGGGCCTTTAAAATTCGTTTTGATCTTTGATTGATAGTTTCCATAAGTTACATGTCTGAAATCATGGGAAAGAGTACTATTATTTTCATGTTGGAAGTTTCCATTTTCATGGAGAAATGAGAAAGATATGCTTGGTCTGACTAGCTAGAGGAAGAAGACGAAGTACAGGGCAAAGGAAGCTTTTTGTGTTATGTTTTTCTTGTTTCACATAAACTAATGGATGTACAACCACTCTAGTGGCAAGGCAGCGCACTGAGAATGCCACGGTCATGGGTTTGAGCCTTGGTGCCTGCCTTTTTCATTTTTCACATATTTTTCATCTTTTTATGGCTGTTTGCAGGATGGGCTTCAATATTTGGGCCTAGCATTTTTTTCCTAACATAATAACACCTAATTACTCAGGATACCCCCTGGCCCATACATTTGATTTATTTGTTTCATTTTCTTTTTTTTTTTGTTTTATTAAATATTTTCTTTAATACATAAAATCATGAAAAATATAAAACATGATAAATATTACATTTTGTTTATTTTATCTTATTTTCACATGAAAAAATATTTTTATTAAACTATATATTAATTATTTTTCTTAAATAAACTTGTAAATATAAAAAAAAATAGAATTAGGTTAATTACTTTATTCCTTTTCATTCATACTTGTAAATATTTATTGACATATAAAAGACTAAATATTTTCATAAAATATTATTTATTATTTTCAATACAAAAAATACACAAAAAAATAATACTTGAAGAACTTTATTTTCCTTTTAAATTAGAAATTAGGGTTAACCATTTTTCTCAAGATTTAATTTCCTTTTCTTAAGTTATTGGGTCTAGGTCAAAATCCTTTTGCATATGAAAAAATAAAACAATTTCTTTTCCTTGCATATACATAATATTGCATATTTAAATATTGTATATTGTTTATTCAAATATTCGTACAAGTTCAATTTAGTTGTAATAGCCTAATTAGATTTACATTATTGCAAATCCCCATTCACAATTTGAATTCCCCCCTCCCATAAAATGTTGTAATAGCGTAGTAATCTTTAAATTACGCAATTTACCGCTTTTATATACCATGCTAGTAATTAGGGTTTGTATGACAAGATCAAAACAAATCAAATAGAAAACCTTAATCCAAGACAAAATCAAAGCATGGAAATAACACACTTGCACACAAGCATCCTTAGGGTTTCTCCACTTGGTTTCCTTATATAAAAATGGCCATATTACGCATGCGAAGTATCTTGGCAAAAACAAACAAATAGAAGATCATAGTCCCTCGATGACGCTATTCTAAGTTGCCTTACAAAATGATCTTGGTCCCTCAAAGACGCTAAGATACTTTGCAACATTGCTAATCATGGCTATACGATGATCCACGCCCGTCCCGTTTACATCCAAAGATAGGGTTGCTTACCAAATCAATGGTAAGACAACAATGTCAAAGGAATAGAAAATGCACAAGAAAGACATTTGAGTAGGTAGATTACTTCTAGTTACTTGCTTCATTTTCAAACAACTATCCTTTCTATTTTCAAAACAAACACACACACATTTCCAAACATCTTACAAACATTGAAAACATTTTCAAAAAGACAAACATCTTTGTATACATTCTTACGAACGAGAATCATTACAAAGATTTCCTAAACAAAGGCCTCTTTTACAAAATACTTTCAAAACCACACAAAGCATAATTTCAAAACAAAAAGCAAGTGATCTAGCAAGTAACTAAGAGCCCATGGAAAACCATGGATGAAAAGGGTGCTAATATATTCCCTTTTCATAATCTATCCCCGAACTCAAGAAACAATCTCAAAGGTCTTTCCTGTGCTTTTTCACCTTTTCTTTTGGATAAAAGAAAAGTCGATGGCGACTCTTGCTAACCACAACATTTACGATAAAACACAAAACCCTCAAGTCAGTTCTCCCACCGTATCATAGGGAGTGTCGGCCATTTACCTGCAGAGTAGAGAAAATCGGTGAATTCAACAGGAAATCCAAATCCACCCTTCCACGACGCAGATGAAAAGGCTAAGTAACTCCTAACCCAAGTCGACAGTCATTCGCGCAGAGAGGAAAAGTACACGGCTCTCGACTAGTCCATGAAAATCATGCCAATCTTATAAGACCACACAATGATCTAGCGACGAACACTTTTTCATGCAAACACTTTTTCATGAATACCCCCGACGAAGGATGAATACAGCGAGCGAGATATAAATTCTCCGGCCAAACTCATGAATCCCCCGGGGATCGCATAAATTTCTCATGCAAAAATCATGAATTTCACGGGGATATATGAATATTACATGGCAAATTCGTCTAAATGTCGGTGACAAGATAAATATCGTGGGCTCAGTCACGAATAATACGCCTAAATCCATGAATCCCCCGGGAAAAATCCCCCAGTGGCTAAACCCTACTACTAAAACAGCCTCAAAGTCAATCTAAACAAAGAATAGCACAGAAAAATACTTACTTGGAAGAGAATAGATGAAGAATGATGGTGGTAGATGAGGAATACGCGGCGAATTGTGCGACGGTGTCAGCGGTTACAGAGAACGGCACGGCGTTGGTAGTAGGAAGAATGAAGAGCGCGAAAATATAAATATGAATAATGGGCCTTGAGGCTCTATTTATAGAGCTGACGTGGAATATGAAACGTCGAGTCGGGCATCCCAACAACCGCCTTTCTCCTCGACACCTACGTGCTCAGCTAATGATGGCCCCTACTCCCTAGGCCATCATTACAACCCTAAACTTCACGCCACGTACCCACTCTTCGTGTCGAGAGCGACGCCATCTTGAGTCCATTCCGAACACTGCTTGGGTAAACTCGTATACCTACGACTTTCTCCGTCCATGCCCTGAGAGATTCTTGTCGAGTAACACACTTCGTAAAAAGAAGAGGATAGATTTAAGTCATAGCTCCTTCATCAGAAGCAACGACTTGGAGGGCTCCTGTTCTGGACTTGGCCTGCTCTTGGCCCAACTCCACGTGAGGCCCAATCCACGTCGGGCAGAATATGTTCCACTCCCCATAAGGAAGCGACCTCACTACACGAGGGGAAACCCCAGTTAGCCTTAGGGAGCTCGTACACCGGTCAGGACGATCCCGAGGACACCTTCTGATCCTCCTCGTCGAAGCCTTATCTCCTCACACAGCCTCGCGTCTGGCGGGGAGCATCCACAACGAGCAGAAGCACCTCCCGAGCATCTCCTCATAGGACTGACTATCAATGTCTCTGAATATCTCGGAGTCTTCGTGGTCCCGGAAATACCGCATTCATATCCTCCTGACCTTGCGGAGGAAGTCATCCAGATGGGGAACCACGTGCGGGTCCTCACTACTCACGTAGGACCTGACAGTCTCCACTTTGGACCTGCTTGACCAGCCTAATAAGGAGACCTTGGCCCAGCGCTGGGGCCTATAAATATCCTCTCTTTCGAGAGGGTCAGATAGATATTAAACATTTCTTACTCTCATATTTACTTGCTCATTCCGAAACTTATTTTGACATCAGAATATCTTGCAGGTACCCCCACCTCACTATCAAATTCTGCTCAGAGCAAGTTGTGACGGTCCATTCTGATCAGATACGATCAAATAAAGTTATAAAATATTATGAAAAGAAAATAGGATAGAATGACATGAAAATTATATCAAGTTCAATTCTTAATTTTAGTTAAAAAATTAAAGAAAAAAATTATATTAGTGTAATTTTCTTAGTAGTTGGAGCTTAGAGTCGTGAAGTTTTTTTATTGAATATATTTCTTTTTACTTTTTGAAATTAAAAAAGAAAAAATATTAAAATTGTATAGTATTTAAAAAATTATTTATAATGATGCAATAAGAAATATTTAAATTTTAACATATAATTTTATGAGTAGAAATATATGACTATTGAAAATAATTAATACTAATAAAAAATAATCAATAAAAAAAATAATGATAATATTACTTAAAAGGTATTTGTAAAAATTAATATTGTATTTGAGATATGAGAATACTAAGAGATCAAATAAATTGTTAAGGTATTTAATAGTTATAAATTAAGTTTATTTTTTGAAAATAATTGAATATTTTTTAGTTTATTCTTTATAATATTTTAGTCTACCTTTCTTTCTCATTTTTGTATTGCTTAACATAAATATAATTATTTTTTCATATGAAACAGAAATATAAGATATATGAGATTTTTATTTTTTTAATTCTTACATCATTGTTATTATGGAGGTCTATGAGATTATTTTTTTATTCTTAATATTTTATTTTTATTTTTATGATATTGCTATTGTCATTATTATATTTATTTGTACTAAAATTAATTTAAATTATAAGTTAAATATTAAATTTCAAATAATCATATTTTTATACTCATAATATTAAAAATAATTTATTTTAATATATAAATAAAATTATAATAGATCTTCTGATAAATCTAAAAAAAGATACCTAAAAAAAGAAAATAACAAAAAAAGAATTTTCATTCTTATTATAGCAAATAAACAGTTTATTTCCCATTCCCATGATTTTGGGTTTTTCTCTGTTGGCCATCTTTTCTTCTTTTAGTCACTTTTTTGTGCCCTTTTTCTCCTTTCCCTCTCACTCTTTTTCTATCCAACTAACAACAAACTTCCATTTGAGGCATGTTCCAAGATCCTTCAATCAAGCTTTTTGGAAGTGATATTCAAATTCATATTCCCATTACTACTCATTCCCACTCTTTCTCCTCTCAGATTCACTCCCCTCCACAACTACCCATCTACATCATGGTCTTGCCTTTCTTTTTCCTTTACATCTTCTTCCTACTTTTTTGTTTCTTTTTGCCTTACTTCATGCTAAAGTTTGCATTTTTATTCTCTATTTTGTAAACCCATCATTTCATTTTTAATATTCATATATAGTTCAAATTTTTATATATCCATGTTTATGCTCTAGGTATCTGAATTTGTTTGATAATTTTGTATTACACTTGAGTTTGTTACTATAGAAAATATGTGGTAGGGTTTAATTTGAATTACTGTGTTTGAATCTGATTTTAGTTTTAAGTTGGACCTAACTTTTAACCAGTAATTACTAATTAGCATGGAAATGTCTGCTCTATCATATGTAGCAATGGAACTGGTTTTGTGAAATAGGACTTTTATGTTAGAAGTTTAAGGTCAATGGCATCTCAAATTGGTTCTTAGTGTTCAGTTCTTCAATATACTGTTTGATTACTTTTGCTGGAGCAAAAGAATGAGATATTGGTATGTGTTTAATCTTTAGGTATCTATGTAGCAGCGACACCTCTGAAAAACATGTGTCCGTTCGAAACTGACACCGACACTTGTCATTAAGTTTAAAATTCATTTTTTTAATTATTAGTAGTGTCGATGTGTCAGTGTTGGTAGGTATTTCATGTATATCTTTTATGTGTAGAACTCAATGTTGTTTAATAGTGGCGCTGTAGCGTAGCAGAATTTGAACAAATCAATATTGATTCATCATATGTTATTTAGTACAAAATGTTGTCAAATAGCGGGGTTATAACACTGTTGTGAAATAGAATATGAATAATTTTCCATTTTCCGCAATTCATGATTGACAATACAGGAGAAAAATGCATATTTTGTGCCACCCTTTGTATTATGTATATATGAGTTATAACTTTTGTTTATAGTTCAAGTTGTTGATTCAATGTATGCTAGCTGACACAGTTTGCTACTCAAATGCAGAATGGACTTGAATCGACTAATGCTGATGTTAGTGTTTCTTTGAATGAAGTTTCCAGCAATTCAGCTTATCCACAAGAAGATGCTAATGCTATGCCAAACATGTACGAATCCGGCACTTCGAAACCAGGGACCGAATCAGTTCATAGTACTTATGAACAGAAGACTGCCAGAAGAGATATTGACAATCAAGGAAAAACTTTCAAGAAGCCAGACAAGGTTCTTCCATGTCCTCGATGCAATAGTTTGGAGACAAAGTTTTGCTATTTCAACAATTACAACGTTAACCAACCGAGGCATTTCTGCAAAAACTGTCATAGGTATTGGACAGCTGGGGGAGCAATTCGGAACGTTCCTATTGGAGCCGGTAAGCGTAGAAATAAGCATTTGCCTTTGCAGAATTGTCAAGTTCCTGTTACCCTTGACGCAGTACCTGTCATACGCACAGATTCCAACTCTGCTAGTCCCAGGGAGGAAATTCCTCTTAGTGAGTCACTAGAAACTGTGTTAAATCTCAAGGGCCGTAGAAAAATTGAAACGGATTCTTCTACTGTCAAAGATGATATTGAAGACCCTTCTAGCTTTTCAGCCGAAAAGGAGTATTCCGAAAATGGAATAGAGCATGTTGGTTTGGCACCACAATACAATGGCTTAATTCCGTTGCATTCACTTCATTATTATTCTGCTCCTCCATGGACTTATCCGTGTTGGAATCCTACGGCATTTAAGCCTGATAACATAACCTCCCCTCCTGCAACCATGATGGCGGTAGAAATACCAATGACACCATCATCATATTGGGGTTGTATGCCAAATTGGGTTGGCCAAATGGAAGAATTTAACGGCATTCAATCACCTTCATCTTCGGTTAGCAGTGGCACATGTTCCGGTAATAGGTCACCAACTTTAGGAAAACATTGTAGAGATGGAAGTACACAAGCAGAAGATACAATGAAACACAATATTTGGGTCCCTAAAACTATCAGAATCAATAATCCAGAAGAAGCTGCAAAGAGTTCTATATGGTCAACTTTGAGAACAAAATCTCAACAGAACAAACCAATTATGAAAGGAGGTGTTTTCAAATCATTTGAAGCTAAATCAAATGCAAGTTCTCGAGATTCAGACGATAATCAAATTCTAAGAGCTAACTCTGCTTCTTTCTCTCGGTCCGGAACTTTTCAAGAAAGCATTTAATATCCTAACTCAGTCTTGGTAGTCTTTATTTAAGAAGATAGCCATGATAAGAACCGCAGTGGAATTTTAAGCTCTTATGTTCTCTGATCTGTTAGAATTTCAGTTTTGTGACAGCAATTGCTCCATGATAAAATTAGACTTGTTTAGTTTTTGCTTCAATTTTCATTACAATAAAGAAAGAAGAGAGTCATGGAAGTTGATGAATCTTTACTTTGAGGTATGATATTTAGGCTTCCAAGCAGATGCAATCAAGATATTAACTACTTTCAGTTGTTTCTTAGTTCATTTAATCTTCATTTGTTTCATCATTATCCATTCAATCCTAACCTACGAGTTCGTGGGCGTGTCACTAGTTTCTATTCCTTTTTTCCCAAAAGATTAGGCCTCTAGTTTTCTTTAGTTTTAAATTTGTATGACACTTCATAAACATAATTTTCAAACTCGGTTGGGCAAACTCAACCATACAAAATTTTCAAACTCAACCATACATAAACAAAATTTTGAGGCCACATATTTTATCCAAGGTAGGACACTCTTCAAAGATAATTTCAAAATAGTAATAATCATGCTTATACAATCTATATAAAATGAAACTTAATGTACATAGTAGCATACACCATAATAGTTCTTGCTAATTTCATAGTAACTTTGTCTCTCTTGAGGTTGATTTAGGTGAGTCTCTATAATCACTTGTTTCTCTTCTCCATGAATTCTGAACTTGTGCTGCAAACTGCAAATTCCAAAGAATATCTTCGACAGAAGGTCTTTCATTTGGTTCACTAGAGAGACACCTTACACATATCTCCATCATTTTCATTAACGATTCATCTGAACATTCCTTGTGAACAAATGGGTCTACAATACTCCTTCTCGCTATATCATCGGTTTTTATGCTTACATGTAACTGCGTATGAGCAACGTGTAAAACATTGTTAGGATTAGCCGACATCTGGATAAACAACTTAATTAAACGCTTATGAAAATAATACTCACAAGATCTTTTAATGTCCCCACTTCATTGTGGAACATTATCGGTCGTCCAAGAATGATTTCTAGCAAGATTACTCCGATATCATACACATCATTCTTGTCTCCATCATTCATCCTACAAATAATTATAGCAATTGTCTCTTAAAACAACAAATCCGACTCTAAAGTAAACAGATAAATAAACACACACAAGAACACCATGATTCATCAGAGTTTGAATTATCATGCCGAAGGTAGACTTTCTTGTATTTAATACTTTTGTGTTCACTTGCTACATTTTCATACTGTCTTAGCAGCTAAGATTAAGCACCATTCTAGTATCAAGGAACCGATTTTTTACCTTGCTTGGAGATTTCCTTTTACTCCATGAGAAGTTCCATTGCTGACCTGAATATTTTGAAGAAAACCATTAACTGTGCAATATTGTAAAACAAATGAAGATATATTAATCGGAAGAGGAGAACTTAAACAAACTGATATTTTCTCTATTTACCATTCTTTTGTTTTCGGCGTAAATCGGAAGATTATAACTGCTTATTTTAACATTATGATTGTTATCCAAAAGAATATCAGTTATCTTGATATTATTTGAATATAGTCCAGGCACTATCCCTGTATGCAAATATTGAATGCCTTTCACTACTCCAATTGTGGCTGCTATTCTCTGTGTCCAACAAAGCTTTTCTCCGTTTGATCCTATCGAAACAAAATGTTATTAGTGAACATATTCAATAAATTTATGGTACTTTGCAGATGATTGCTGGTAGCTACGGTGCCAACATTGTTGAGCTGTCAGAGATGTCAGCTACCACAATTTGAAGAAAGATTGTAGTAAGACAATTTTCCTTACCTGAGATGCGGCTTCTTAAACTTTTATCTTGAACAAACTCGAAAATGAGAAATACAGTATTGACACTTGAATCATCTTGGTTGCACTCGAAGGAATGTCCAAGTGAACTAACCAAGTGTGAATGCCTAAGTTTTGAAATCAACTCAACATGGTGCATATAGGCTTGAGGACTGTGCTTCTTTCTTATCTTCATTCCTCTAATAGTAATATTCATCCCATCAGAGAGAACCCCTTTATATATCTGACATCATAGTACAAGAAATTGAGTTTTTGCAACTCATAAAGATTCCTATATGCATAATTGTTGGTAGAACTATACCATCAACCTTGATAATTTCAAATGCATACCTGACCAAGTGGACCTTCACTTATGAGACTTGACTCTTCAAAATTATTTGTAGCTTCCTTAAGTTGGTCCAACGAAAAGGTCCTATATGCAGGAAGACCAGTTCCCATCTTCATTGTTTCTGATATACACCCTGTTAACAAAGAATTTCATAAAGTGACTATACGTAATGTGTTATAACCTCTGCAGCACCGACATCTCTGAAAAAATGTGTGTTTGTATTGGTGTTTTAAACTGTCAGTGTTAATAGATTGTGGACCTTGAAGTGACTACATGTCAGTGTCAGTGTCCGTGCTTCATAGGTTATAGTACTTAATAGATTGTTCATTTTTCAGGAATTGAAGTTATGTAAAAACAAAGCAAAGGATATGTTGATTTACTTGCATCTGTGAGTAGTTTTGCAGTGTTTACTGATGATACATGTTCTATTATGGACCTTGAAGGTGACCTTGAAAGGCGTCTGTTACCGAGTAAGCTCGCAATATGTTCCTTTATGAATCTTGTCAATGTTTTCATAGCATTTTTATCAGGAACTCTTCTGATGATATGCTCTACTATAGACCTTGCAGTAGTTTTCCCTCTATCTTCATTCTGTATTTGGCTAATAATAACATGTTCCAAAGTAGACATCTCAGGTGTTTTCGAAACATTCGTTTTATGAACTTGATTAACAACCAAAACAACAACTGCAACAATCAATACTCCAACAACTCCAATACTTGATGACACAAGCACTGCTTTACTTGTTGTTCCTTTATGTTTCTGTTGTTGACGCGGCGAAATATTCACGGCGAGAGCTTCACTGCTGCAAAAACTATAACTATGTTGAGCTTGTTTCTTCTCATTTGATAAACAGTTTCTAGCATACAAAACAACCTTTGTTTTCTGTCTCAAACAACTAGGCAGTTCACCTTTCAAAAGATTTGAAGACAAATTCACAAACCGAAGATCGCCATTACACGAAAAATTCTCGAAAAGCATACCAGTGAACTTATTCGATGAAACATCGAGGTAATTTATCGAAGGGAGCGACAACAAAGACTGCGGAAATGGCCCTACAAAGCCATTCAATGAAAGGTCCAATTTTTGAAGCTGATAGAATGAACTTATATTAGAAGGTACACCAAGCCTAAAACTGTTGTTTCTAAGCACAAGTGAAACTAGCTTTGTAGGAAGAGAAGGAAAATGAGGTCCTAATAAGTTGTTTTCCAAGTGAAGAACTTGAAGGTTAACCAAGTTATGAAAATGAGGTAATTCACCAAACAGTTGATTATTTGACAGATCCAAAACTCTAAGAGTAACAAGATCATTCATTGAATCTGGCAAGTTACCTGTAAGAAAATTCTTCTTCATGCTAAGAACAACCAAACCTTGAAGAGAGGTTAACAAGTTTGGAATTTCACCATTGAAGTTGTTATCATCAAGTACTAGTGATTGAAGATTGTTGAGATATGAAAGGTGAACTGGTATTTCTCCAGTGAAGTAGTTTGAGCTAATGTTGAGTATCTCCAATGAGGACAATTCAGCTACGGTTTCAGGTAGAGGGCCCCATAAGCCAAGAGAAACCAAAGAGAGGACTTTCAAGGTTGAAAGAGTGGAAAGTGTTGAAAAGAAAGTGTGTGAGTTGAAGTTTTGAGGCAATGAGGTGGTGAAGTTGTTGTTGTTGTTTCCTACAAGATGTAACTGTGTTAAGTTTTGTTCGTAGCAGACTAGTGTTAAGTAAGGTGTAGGTTCAATGTTGCAGAAATCTTTGGTGGTGGTTAAGGTTGATAGAGATGAAGGGTAGCCAAGAAGTTGTTGGAGTTTGAGAAGGGTTTGAGAGTGTGAGAATTGTAACTGGTGTGAAAGATGGATGATGGAGAGAAAGAAGATTAGAAGGAGTAGATTCTGTGAATGATGAAGTTGTTTAGCCATTTTCTCTTCAATTGGAGAAAGAGATATGAACACAATGATATTTTGTTAAGTACCTAAAAAGTTGCATAAGTGATGCCATTTTTCATGTTTTACACTTAGGATTAGTTTATGTAATAATAATGGAACAAGTTAACTAGGATTTATGATTATGTTGAATAGGACAGTGAGCCACTGAACATGCTACACGATGAAAAGAACATAGTAAAGAGAGAGTGTGTTGTTAGGCTCGTGACACATTTGGGAAATGCCAAAATATGATGTGTGTGTATGTATTCCTTCATGCTTTATTGTGAGGTATTGAAAGGGACAAAACAGAGTGGGACCTAACATCAGTCACGGGTCTGTTTCTGTTATGTTTTTGTCAAAAAACGATACTACATAATAACAACAAAAAAATAATTTAGTCGGTATAGAGAATGGAGAAGGTGGGGCTTTTTGAAAACTATAAAAAAATGTGAATAATTAGAGAGATTTTCAAGGAGATCAATGCAACGCCTTAAACTCCTAGGGAAATCAAGCACCATCCATTATATATCTATTTTGATGCTTTGATGTTGTACTAATAATAATTATTAGAAATTTCACCGATAAATGTGGCACTCAGTAACAGCTCAACTAGTAGTGAGAGAAGGTCTGACTTCTCTAAAAACAAAAAAAATCACATTTATTCATCACTAGAAACCACCAAGTTTATAGAAAATCAAAACTTGTTCAAACCCTAATCACATCATTGTTTACAATCACCATGTTCTATGATAACTCAAGAAATGGCGCAAAGGAGTGGATCCAAGTTACGAGAGGAAAGAAACATCAGGAGGGTAGTAAGCAGGCATGAGACACTAGCAAGGTAGAAACAAAGATGATACATAGGCGATTACGACGAGTACTTTCTTCTTCACA